CCTATAAGTATTTGAAATGCTTAATTGTTTTAATTACTATATCATCATATGGCCTATACAGCAAACCAACCTGCGCTTGTCATGCCTCTCGTTTGAACTGCTTCTATGCTCAAGGGGCCAATGATGCCTTACATGCCAACCATTTTTGCCTGCACGAAACTCAGTATTCGTATCAATCTTGAGACAAACTCTATAAATAAGGACAGAGTAAAGAGGAAACCCTACGAATTTACTATGACATAAGAAAAATTCTGTAACTCTATACAATACAGAGAAAAATGCAAATGACAATGTAATAGCAGCATGGTGGAACTATGATCTTTAATTATATCTTTCCTTCACAAACACGCAAATATCGTAATCGAATTATACGCAGAATTAAAAATTTTCCAAGAAACTTGGGTTTCTTTGGCAAGAAATGAGCAAGAACAGTAAAATCTAACTGGATTACCTCTTAAGAGTAAGATACGGACCCAATTCGTTCCGAAGATCCTGACTAGTAAAATCAGCGCCCAAATTCCCAAAATACACATGGGCCATCGTCGAGAATCAGCAACAGCCTATGGAAGAGATGGCAAAAATAAGCATAAAACATCCGATCGATGGTGAGAATTCGCAGAAGTCTTAAAACAGTGGAAGAGAAGCAAATGGTTCGAGCCAATCTCAGAGATAGCTTTGTGTATTTTCAAATTTCTGAGAGAGAAAGGAAGGAAGCGATGGCTCATATGCCCAAGACTTGTGCTCGTCAGGCTTCTGTTGGCGTGCTTTTGTAATTTCCTTGCATGCATTTTGAAACTAATATTAATAATGAATAATTTATAAATAAAAATAGATTAAACTAACTTCAATCATCTCTATTTAATATATATTTTTTGCTTTTAATTATGTTATTCAACTTCTCTGACTGACAATTGACATTCAGTTTTTATTTAGGTTCTGTTTATCATTTGTTATTTCAAAATATTACAAATATAACATTGGCATATATTTTTATTATTGAATTAAGGATAAATTATATAAAATTTTTAACCTTTAAAACTTAATAAGAGATCTCCCTAAACTTTCAAGCCTATGCACATCACCCCAAATTATCAGTTTTATACTAGCTAAACTTTATTTTTGTAAGCATATAACTCCTTTAAATTTTAAATTATATGCAGATAAAGTTCTTAAATTTTAAGTTATTTGCACGAACAAAACTAATACCATAAGAAATATTTATAAATTTAACATTTTGAGGTGGTTTATTGTAAAATTTAAAGGAGAGACTGGATATTTACAAATTAAATGAGTCGAATAAACTTTATTATTATTTTCTGTACCAAAAATTATCAATACTATTAAACTAAATAATTTAAAAGTTATATTTACAGTGATAAAATTTTCAAAGATTATTTTCTTGCTTCTTTTTCTTTGGAGGGAAAATGACATGAAAAGACCACCAATATTATAAGGAACAATGTCTTTAATTAGAAATAAAATAAAAAATGTCCTGATTACATACATTCAGCTTTAGGTCCAATCCAAAAGTTAACTCATAAGTAGGAGGTATCCAAAAGATATTTAAACATTGTGGGCGTCAGGGCTTCAGGCAGTGGGACTTATCATCACCGCTCTTCACCCCCTCCCGCAATCAAGGCTCTGATACCACATCGGGCTTTTAGGTCCAACTTAAAAGCTAGCTCATGGTGAGGTGATAAGTCTCACATCGCCTGAAGTCCTAACGCCCATAATTTAAATATCCTTTGAGTACCTTCTACTTATGAGCTAATTTTTAGGTTGGACCTAAGAGCTTGATATGGTATCAGAGTCTTGACTATAGAGGAGAGGGATCCGCATTCCGTGCTCATCATCTTAATGAGCACGGATTGCTCAGCACTCAAAATGTGGACGTTTTGAGTGCTGAGTAGTATAATGAGAGACCTTTATTTCTTTTAAATTTTTTTCACTACAAAAAAAATATATGTATTAAAATTAATTTTAGTTAAGGTTTATCTAATACTCTGAAATATTTTTTAGATAAATTTAATATTTTAAAGTATTTTATGATATCCTAAAATATTTTCTCATGTGTATTTAGTGTTTTAAAGTATTTTATGATAGCGCATTTGAAAAATATTTAAGAATCCTATATTTCAAAGTATCTTGTGGTTCATCTAGTATCCTAAAATATTTTTTGATATGTGTTCATCATTCTAAAATACTTTATGACCGGACACTAAAAACATATTTCAAGGTCTAGTATTCTAGAGTTTTCTATGATTTATCTAGTATCTTTAAATATTTTTTTAACATTCTAAAATATTTTGTGATACAATATCACAAAATAGAAAATTTTTTAAGACATTAAATGCATGTGAAAAAAATATTTTAAGGTATTAAATGAATCATAAAATACTTTAAGGTATTGAAAACACCTAAAAAAATATTTAGAGTACTAGATAAATGTTAATCCAAAATAATTTTAATACATACTTCCTCTGGTTTTTAATATAAGAGGTAGTTCAACTAATTCAAATATATTAAAAAATTATCTAAATTAGTTATTTGTAATAAATAGATAATATTTTCTCTAAAATACCTTTTACTAATCATATGTTTTAATTAGAACCACCAATTAATTAAATCTTTAACATGTCTAATTATTACAAGGACTATTTTAAAAAAAAATAGATATATATGAGAGTCAAAGTAGATTAGGACCTTATATTTAAGATTAAATTAAATTTCAAACTAATTTTTATATTAATAATTTGAGGTAATATAAATTTTTTTAGCAAAAATAAAGTCAAAAAAAATAAAGCGCTCACCACTCAAAACGCGCAACGTTTTGGGTGCTGAGCATGGAATGCGAACGCCAAGAGAGGGTGAAGAGCAGTGGAATGATAAGTTTCATATTGCCTGAAGTCCTGACACCCACAGGGTTTAAATATCATTTGGGTACTTCCTACTTATAAGCTAGCTTTTGGGTTATATCTAAAGGCCTAATGTATCATACTCTTTCAATCCTAAATGAGTCTTATATTTAGAATCAAAAGAGTAATTTGTAATTTATATCGTCCCATAATTGGCAACTAAATTTTCATCACTTATTATAAAATAATGAAAGTAAAATTGCAAACTTTTTTATTTACTCATCACAATATGTTATTAAGGGTGTTTTTAAAGTAGAGATTGCTTCTAACAAAATGAATTTATCTGATTTTTTAATATATACCTTAACTGCAATATTTACATTATCTGCTTATAAATGAGGTCCATGCATCAACAACGAAATTTAATCACATTGTTTACTAGCTTAGCTAATTTACATTGGCTCTTAGAATATCAATTAGAAATATGTAAATAAGTTTAAATAGTTAAAATTTAATATTATATATATATATATTTATATAGGTCATAACTATAATGAAGTCTTCCTATTAAATTTGGATTGGACAGTTAAGAAATAAGACGTAGGAATGAACCTTTATCGGTCATTATAAGTATTAGAAAAAATTACAAAGGTTCGAAAAAATTCAATTTTTTTTATCACTTTTATAAGTTTAATTTGTAAATGATGTAATTATTAATAAATATGAAAATTTCATATGTAAATATAAGTCATTATATTTATTTTGCAAATATATAAGTTTAACTTGCAAATACGTAAATGTAACTGATGCATATAAATTTTTTAGATTTCTTTCTATTTAATTTCTCTGAAAAAATTATTATGAGGTTGAAAGTATACAGTTACTTAAAAGTCTTATAACATATTGCCATTTCTTTTGTCAAAATTTGTCAATGTATATTCTCACTTGTTGTAAAACTTTTCAGGGAATACTACCTCCGATCTCTAAATAAAAAAAATAGATAAAAAAGTTCGAATATAAAATTTTAATTTACTTTATTTTTAAAATTTATAATTTTTTAAAGTATTTTCATTAATTGCACATATAAAAAAGATTTTGCATCATGAGATAATTATAATATATATGATTAAAAATACTTGAGAAAACCAAACTAATATTTATTATCAATAATTGATTTAACTAATTTTTTAATATGTACTCTTTTTGATCCTTTTTATAAAAACCTCATAATCGAATTATAAGATTTAACAAAACAATTAAAATTGATTAAAAATAATAGATATGTAAGAAATAAATTTTTCTTCCAAACACGCTCTTATTTGTAACAGGTAAGTAAAAGAGAGAATATGAAAGAGAATGTAATACACCGAGTTACCAACCTTTTAATTAATGTAATATATAAAATTAATTAGGGAAAAAATGGTAAAAACACACTAAACGTTCAGACAATCATAATTGAGATCTTATAAAAGGACCAAGGCAATTAAAATTTTATGTTCTGATAAAGAGAACCAGAAGGAGTATAAATTACTAAATATAATTTTTAATATAAGAGATAGATAACTAATTTGAGGAGATTAAAAAAATTCACTAAATTGATTATTTATAACAAATGTATATTGATTTTTCCTAATTATCCTATTTAATCATACATATTAAGACTATCTCTTGGTGAAAATGTTCTATAATTAATAAAAATATTTTTAAAAAAATATAGTAAATTTGACAGAAAAAGAAAACTCAGGTTGAGTTTAAAATACTATATCTGATCCTATTTATAAAATTTTATTTATAATCTATAAATAAAATCTTATAATTAATACGGAAAGCAGTTTATTTGACTCTTATCTTTTGTTTTTATCTTATGCGGTACCAATAGCACCCCTACGTTTTCGGTCAATGCCGTGCAGAATTCACGTTGCAAAAACCCGGACACATGCAGTCTGACACTGATCCTGCTCCAGTATGGTGTCCCTCTTCCTGGTCCACATCAACGACCTTGTCTTTTTTCTCATTATTTGTCTAAATTATCATGTTGCGGGTCCGCCAGATTCCCTTCCAAGTAAATCAATAATAATTTATCTCTTTTTTCAAAAAAAATCTATCATTGGGCATTACTCATTCGTGATTGAAGTGCTTCGTGCTTTGTCCTTGTCTTTTGCAGCCAATTCAAACTTTCTTCTATTCCTGCTTCACAAATCCTACAATTGGTCGAAGATTTAGCAATAGGATGAGATTTTTTCTCAAAAACGATCGAAATTTACTGATACCGTTTCACACTTTCAAGAGCTGATACTGCACTAGACTAGAGTCAAAGCTTGGAGACTTTGAGCCGAATCTAAGTTTTTGGGCCAGTGGTTCCCCCCCCCCCCCCTTTTCTCACGGTTCTTTGTTCTCTGAAGAATGGGAGTGGATAAAATTGAAGAGAGCAGTGTGAGATTGTTGGCTAGTAGCAGCAGCGGTGGAAGCACCGGATCTAGGTGGGTCGATGGGACGGAAGTGGAGTGGGAGGTTACTCCGTGGACGAAGGAAAATGAGAATGAAGGATTGAGATCAATTCGAAGAAGGCTTGTGAAGAAGCCCAAGAGAGTTGACTCACTTGATGTAGAGGCCATGGAGATTTTTGGGAAACACGATCACCACTCCAAGGTAGTTTCTTCCAAGTCCTTGACTTTATGATAGCTTTTTTGACTATGCATGCTCCAGTGACTAACGAGAAATGAATCGATATTCAAAGACCAACATAGGGGTTGAAATTTTTGAGCCTATGTATTTGAGGTGAAACTCTACATCCAGGACTGTGGTCTTGAATAAAACACCAAACTTGTTTGTTGTTAAATCATTAGTTCATTGCCATTTGTATTGGAAAAGTTTATGAGAGATAAAAATTACATTAAAATGCTGCGCTAGAATTATCCTTTCCGCATTCAAAGTGTGTAAAAGGGGAAAAGAACCAACCAAATATCAAAACGGGGAAGAAAAACAGCTAGAACCTCAGAGCTTGGGAGTATTATTGCACACTTAATAGCTGAGTAAGATGGAAAGATGAATGGTTAAATGATTAACTTGGTAGAGCACATCAAACTCTTATTACTTTACATTTAGAATTATCCATTTATTTGGAAGTAGCTGAAGATCGAAGAACTGTATTGTAGTGTACTTATAACTGTAGAATTGAAATGTAAATCATGGAGAATTTGAATGCACATTACACCACTTCCGACAGCGACTCCTTTTGACCATATAATGGTGAATACAAAGGCATCTCTCTTTTTTAATCTTTAGCACTTGCGTGAATCAGGATCCTTCCTTTTGGACCACACTGGCACTAGCATTTCAGACTCTTGGTGTGGTATATGGTGATATGGGAACAAGTCCTCTATATGTTTTCTCTGATGTGTTCAGTAAGGTTCCGATTGAGTCAGAAATTGATATTTTGGGCGCCTTATCATTAGTGATGTACACAATAGCAATTATACCCTTGGCAAAGTATGTTTTTATAGTCCTCAAGGCAAATGATAATGGAGAAGGTAATGAATTTGCAATTTCATTGTCAAGTCTTCACTTTGACTTATTTGTCATTATTATAAATCCAACTCTTTGTGCATTTAATGAACTTAATTGTAGGTGGAACATTTGCACTGTACTCGCTGATTTGTAGGTACGCAAATGTGAGTCTTCTTCCAAATCGTCAGCAAGCTGATGAGCTTATCTCTAGCTTTAAGCTTAAACTACCCACTCCAGAGCTGGCAAGGGCTTTGACCGTAAAGGAAACACTGGAAAGAAAGTCATCTCTGAAAACCCTTCTGCTGCTGTTGGTTCTGATGGGGACTTCCATGATTATTGGAGATGGTATTCTGACCCCAGCAATATCAGGTACATAAACATGCTATCTTCATTAAGTGAAGTCGCAGTGACAAACTCCAAAAGAAGCGACCTTGATGTACTTGACTCTGTTTTAAATCTGCTGAATGTTCAAAGATCATATCATCAGCTCTGAACATTACAATGTGAAGATTGGGTAGCTCAGAGAGTACTTTTAACCCATTAATTTGCTATGGAATGGCAGTCACATGATTATTTATCAAGAGGCTATGGATATCCTGATTACCAGTGAGATTACTATTTGCATTCATTATTTAGTTAGCGTCATCTGTTCCAAGCTAATGTGTTTCCTATGGGATCAATCTTCTTGTGTATACTGAAATAAGATCCCCATCTAATTGAAAGGAAATGTTTAGTATTTATATCCGGTTTATCAGCATTCTGATAAATTAATTAATTTCCTCATATCATGCAAAGTGCCAGTATTACACAATAACCTGCCTCCTTAACTGAAACAAGTTTTTCATTTTATATAGCATGAACTAAGTGTATTTGGTGCCATCATGGGGGCTTGCAGCTGTGGTCCATCAAAGGCTGGGGCTGGACTTTGTTAATTTCATTAATTGGCTTTGCATTTTTACTAGAACATCAATTTCATGAACTTCTTATTATTTGTTTAACATTTTCTGTTCTATTTTTAAGCTGATGTTTGGAAAAAATTTGCCTGTGTTGCAACTTAACTGGGACTTTGATGCTTCTTTGTCTCTGACACAGTGATGTCTGCCATAAGTGGTTTGCAAGGTCAAATTAATGGATTTGATACAAGTGAGTATATTTTCCACTTCTCTATAAGAATCTTGCTTTTCTTCAGTTGGATAAAAACGAAAACCAACCAACAAAGAATGAAAGCAGAGATGAATAAATACACAATTTAGGAGTGTAAATAGTACTAAGATTCCAATTCATCTTTCAATTTCATCTTTTAATTGTAGAGGTTTTATTTATATGGAGGTTCTCGTGCTGCCTGCTTCCTTCTTCTATTATTTCCTTAGGAATATAGGGCTATAAGCTACTGTGGTCAAAGTCTTGACATATCTTCAAAGAAATAAACCAGTGGCCTTTTGTTAAGGGCTGGTTAGATAGATCTCCCTATTTGAGATAATCCAAAGGAATGAAAGATTAATCTATACATTTCTGGAGCAAATCTCTTGAGGCCAAAGTCTTTCCGAGATTCTCAACCAGTGAGTCTGGTAGGCTTTGACCTCAGTAGGTCAGAGATGGTTCTGTCTAAAAACATACTTTAGTAAATTATCTTTTTCTGAGGAGTCAAATTTTTGCTTGTTAAATTGGCATTTTGACTTTTTAACAACTGACGCTTTGGTTTCCTTAAGAATGCTGTCTTGTGGTGTGTAACTATGAGCAACAGACAGTGCTGGTATCTCAACAACAAAGCTTAGTTCTTTATTCCCTTCTTATTACTTGCAGAGGAGGTGGTTATTGTTTCAATCGTAGTCCTTGTGGCTTTGTTCAGCATACAGCAGTTTGGAACTGGTAAAGTGGGTTTCATGTTTGCTCCTGCGCTTGCTTTATGGTTCTCTTCGCTGGCTTTGATTGGAATATACAACATATTCAAGCATGACATCAGTGTTCTGAGAGCCTTCAACCCAGCTTATATCTATTATTTCTTTATGAAGAACACCAAAACTGCATGGTCATCTCTTGGAGGTTGTGTTTTGTGCATTACAGGTACGTATTTCTCTTGATCTTGGTTGATTGGCTTTGCAGTGTGGGTTTGACCTTTCTTATAGCCCCCGATTATGACCGTTGCTTCTCTCATCTCCATCGTATAATCACTTAGTGCCCTTATTTTAGACTTTTGTTTTTTCCCTTAAAGGTTGAGAATTGTGAGCCAGGAGATGAGATGATTATAATAATTTAGGTGGTTAATTTTAGATGCTAGTAGAATATGCAATAGCATAGAAGATACAAGAAAGACTTGCTGAAACTATCCTACTCTTTCCTCTCACTCTTGCGCTTATGCACAGTGAAAAGGATGATGATTTGATAACCATCACACCTTAAGACGGTGGTCAACATGTGAAAAGTTTTTGCTAAAAGGAAAATGTCTCAAAAATAATAATTGTTAGTTTGACTTAATTTGTACCACATCACATTGCCTCTCTATGACAAAGCAATGAAGCTTTTTTCTTTGTTTCAAAGATGATATACTTGGTATTGAGTTTGCTGATGCCTGATGATACGATTCTTGATATGTGTTTTGGTATGATGCACATACCACAGATTTGCTAGGATACACCACAAAATGTGAATGACCTAGAAGTTATTCTAATACTCTAAATTTAATATGATCTTTTCCATGATAATGAGAAAATTGTGATACGTTGAAATAGGCCTTTCACCTGGGGGCTAAAAGGAACCAGTAGCTTGTATCTATCTTTTGTTTTCTTTTGCAGGTGCCGAGGCAATGTTTGCCGATCTGGGTCACTTTTCTGTGCGATCAATTCAGGTTTGTGATTCATCAATTTCTTTCTTGAAGATTTAACCCATAAGATAAGTATGTTAATCCTTGTATGAGTAGTTTAAGTTTCATTTCATTGCTCATACAGATTGCCTTTTCTTTTGTGGTATTTCCCTGTCTCCTCCTTGCTTATATGGGCCAAGCTGCTTATCTGATGAAGCACCCTTATGCTCATTCAAGAATATTCTATGAATCTGTTCCAGGTGATGTTGGTTGATATAACTGCAAGTGTGCTAGTACATAAAAGTATTGTCCTTCAAATTATAATGAAGAGGTGCATATTCTACTGTAATCATTTTGGCACCTGCTGTTTCTTCCTTGTGTAATACAGAGAGTCTGTTCTGGCCAGTGTTTGTGATAGCCACACTTGCTGCTATGATTGCCAGCCAAGCTATGATATCTGCTACATTTTCATGTGTAAAGCAATCCATGGCTTTAGGCTGCTTTCCAAGGCTCAAGATTATTCATACCTCAAAGAGGTTTATGGGTCAAATATACATCCCTGTAATCAACTATTTTCTGTTGATCATGTGCATAGTAGTTGTTTCCATCTTCCAAAGCACCACTAGTATTGCAAATGCATATGGTAAAGTATCCCACCTCTCAATCTTCTCGAAGTGTTGTTTTCTCTTTTCTGGTTCAAAAGCGACCCTTGAATGGATTCTGGAAGTACTTTGTAGAATAATTTACTGACTATTTCTTATCCTAGGTTTGCCATCTATGTTTGAAGTTGGTCATGATTACAATTCGAAGTGTTAAAAAATTAAATAACTGCATTGGTATTGTTATGTGAATAAAACTTTTTCACTACAGTCCAAAATTAAATGGCGTGGGTGCTTTTGAACACAGTAGGATAAAATACATCACTATGATAGAATCACACTGTTTATTCCCTTTGTGTTAAAACACCACTTGAACATAGTTCCTGAATGGTTTATTTAGTATTTTCTGATGCCAGTAATAATAAACCATATGCCCGCACTATGGATTGACTTGAAATCACTTTTTCTCTTGATTTTTAGATAAAAATAATTTATCAAATTCCATTTCTATGCTCAAATGCATTTTCTGCATTCATATAAAAGCATTCAATTGCTGGCTTACATGAAAATTATGTTATCGCATAGCTTAAAGGGACAAATTAGGTAGGTCAACATACAGCTAACATGGCTAGTACTATAATACTCGACACCATATTTAATCTATCTTTTTGTGAAATTCATATCATTGTTGCAGGCATTGCTGAAGTAGGTGTCATGATGGTTAGCACCACCTTGGTGAGTCTTGTAATGCTTTTGATCTGGCAGACCAACTTGTTCCTAGTTTTTGGTTTCCTACTCGTATTTGGATCAGTAGAGCTCGTTTACATGTCCTCCGTCCTATCCAAAATCACAGAGGGCGGCTGGCTTCCACTTGTTTTTGCTTGCTTTTTCCTCTCTATAATGTACACGTGGAACTATGGAAGTGTTCTGAAATACCAAAGTGAAGTCAGGGAGAAGATCTCCATGGACCTCATGGTTGATCTTGGCTCCAATCTTGGAACTGTAAGAGTACCAGGAATTGGATTGTTATACAATGAACTTGTCAATGGCATTCCCTCTGTTTTTGCTCAGTTCCTCTTGAACCTCCCTGCTGTCCACTCCACTTTAATTTTTGTTTGCATTAAATATGTCCCAGTCCCAGTGGTTCCTCTGGAGGAAAGATTCCTGTTTCGAAGAGTCGGTCCAAAAGATTACCACATGTTTCGCTGTGTTGCCCGGTACGGCTACAAAGATGTAAGGAAGGAAGATCACCATGCATTTGAGCAGCTTCTCATTGAAAGCCTGGAGAGATTCTTGAGAAAGGAGGCTCATGATAGTTCCTGGGAGGTCAATAAAAATGAGGACGTGGATAGTGTCTTGGCGATATCAAAGGACTCTGACCTTCCCAGTGGGAATGTGTCTGAGGACCTAAGGATTCCATTAATGCAGGGTCAAAAACCAGAAGAAACAGGAGCTTCTACCTCTAAGCAAGCTTCAATCTTGCTGCCGGCTAGCGCCATGTCATCAGATGAAGACCCTAGTCTTGAATATGAGCTTGCTGCTCTAAGGGAAGCGACGGATTCAGGATTCACCTATTTGCTTGGACATGGGGATGTGAGGGCAAAGAAGAACTCCATTTTCGTCAAGAAGCTAGTGATCAATTATTTCTATTCATTTCTGAGAAATAACTGCAGAGGAGGCACAGCGAACATGAGAGTTCCTCACACTAACATCATTCAAGTTGGGATGACTTACATGGTCTGACTCACTCTAGTGGTTGTCTTTGATATCTGCAGTGAAAGTCATTCTGGGAAATTGAAGTTACCATTTGGCTCCCCGTTGTAAATTATCTCTATAACCCCTAGATTGTATTGCCTATTGTAGAAGTATTGAACTATATTGGGTTGTGGAATATTTATTGCCACCCAGATTGTATGGCCTGCTAGACAGTTATTTCTAGAACTCCTAGATTGTTTCATATTTTTTATTAATTTCACATTCTTGTGGAAATTTTTTCTACAATTATGTTATCCTAAAATCAGAACGCAGCTGCAGAAGATAGCTTTATTATTTTTTTTTATTATTATTATTATTATTATTCGGTTTACAGGGGGAACCAAACATTTAAAATGACAGCTCATAAAATGAAGACATTGGATGACTGGGCCGATTTAGCCTGTGAAAATCACAAGGGTAAGATGCATGTACTTTACTTCAATTTTAGTAAAATTATAAAAACCTCCACTGCATTTTTTAAAACATATAATTTAGTCTAATTTTTAATACAATTAAAAATATTTCATTAAAAATTTCAAAATACTTTTTTATTAATCAACTTTATATTGTAGAAAAATTATATTATTAATCAATTCTTATAACATATTTATTTATTTTCTCTCTGATTTCAACAATCTCAAATGATTTTGCACAGAATTTCATTTCTATTCATTTATGAAATAATAAAAGAAAATTTCTTGAAAATAGATTTTAAAGAAGCAGATTTAACTGCCGATTGAATTGCTAAAGTTTCATTAAGAGGATTTTGCCCTTTTGATTGGGTAAGGAAACCTCTTTTTTGCAAAAATTGCTTATGGCTGCTCTTGGAAAACCTTTGTTGGATCTTTCACTCAGGATTTACTTTCGAATTTCAATAGAATGAAACATCCACTTAGAAAAAACCAAAAAATATTTTAGTTCTTAGTTTATTTTTGATCGTCTAGCATTATGTTTGAAGGCAGTTTTAGGTCCAATGAAATCTTCTAGTTGGCAATAATATATAACAAATAGTAGTTTAGTGAAGAGGGTTAGTCCCTTATAACATGACAAATTAAAATTTAAGTCCCCATTAAAAGAAGTAATTACCTTCTTTACAATTGATTGGGAAAATTAATCTGAAATTTTCGATAATTTCACCTCACATTTAATCAAGTTTTATATATTTTTTTTCATTAAGTCTTTATATTAATAGGATCTTTGTAGTTAGTTTTTATCACGTGAAAGTGAAACTAAGTGTTCAAAAAACCTTCAATGTAGAGATCTTATTAGAAGTCAAATGAAAATTACAGAACATGTAATTTTAAAGTTTATTTCATAAGATGAATTACTTAAGATTATTTTTTCTCAAGTAATATATACAGTAATTACATATGTTAATTACTTACTATTAATTTATAATTCCAACACACATGATTAATAAAGATATTTTAAAATTTATTACAAATAATTAATTTAACTAATTTTTTTAATCTCTCATATTACATTGGTTAATTATTTTTTTAACGTAAAACGAATAACATTACTGGTGGGAAATTTTCATCCAAAATAATGATGATGATTGTTAGTGGTACTCCATTATAAATTAACTAGTTAATTAGTTAATAATATTAATTCATAACTGATAATCGACGAGGAAGATGACGAATGCACACGAACCAAGGAACATTTCTCTGGTCACTGTTCGTCTTCAAGAAAGACAAGCGAGGGTTTTCTTTATCTTACACTGAGTGGTCGGAGACCAAAGAAGAAGAAAGCGACGATCAATCATGGCTATGGCAAGCTTCGCTAGACGGAAGGCTTACCTTCTGTCGAGAAATTTATCCCCGGAGACTCTCAGGTACTCCCTGTCTCTAGCTTCTTTCTCCAGGGGATTCGCTTCGGGATCTGACGAAAACGACGTCGTCGTCATTGGTGGTGGCCCTGGTGGGTATGTCGCCGCCATTAAAGCGGCTCAGCTTGGTCTCAAGACCACTTGTATCGAGAAGCGTGGCGCCCTTGGTGGCACCTGCCTTAACGTTGGCTGCATCCCGTCCAAGGTAATCTATGCTTTTGCATTTAATGGAAGAATACTTATGTGTCTGAATTTCCTTGTCAGTTGTTACGGTTGAACCTTATGGAGTATCCTGTCCAGTTTCTTCTAGTTGAATTCTGCCTTTTTACGGGTTTTTTTTTTTCCTTTGTTTGACCAATCCAGCTCTCCGGTTTACTTCTTGGTATTAAATTGTTGTCCTGCTTGACAAAGAATTTTCTGGAAAAGAGATTTTTCTTTTTAGGGTACAAATAGCTTAGGCGAGCATTAGTAATCTCAGTTGTGAATCATACTATTTCTAACCTATGGACGCCGGTTGTTTGCATCAAGGGCAGTCTCATTAGCTCAAGAAAGGATAAAGTTAGTAATGCGGTGATATCGAGAAGGTTTGAAGAAGTATGAATATGGATTTCGATGTCTCTTGTCTGTGATTTGATAAACCTTGTATGACTTGTCCGACTTGGCCAGTTTTGTCTCAGAATTTTGGATGATTCATTTTTCTCCTCGGCTATATATCTGGGCTTTATATACCATGCCCCTTATTGAAAGAATGAGTTGATCACATATATCAATACCAAAGTTCGGATATGGGCACTGGAGCATAATTTGCATCTTAGAGAGATTATCAAATGGACATGAGCCCTTAAGACCCTTCCTCATTACTTCAGAATCTGAGTTGCAGCTATTTTATACTTGTACTTTACATGATTTGTCATACCAAATCGTTTTGCATTTGTAGACTTGCGTTGATGTTTCATCAAGTTGTTTTATTTCCAAATGTAAAATTGAGTCAAGTAACCTTTTTTATCCTCGTATCATGAACTGAAAATTGAAGGTGCACATCTGAAAAAAACAATAATGGATGAAGTCTTATTTTTAGACAAAATACTTATTTATTGGCAGTCTTTTTGATGGTTTGGTTCAGGCACTGCTGCATTCTTCCCATATGTACCACGAGGCAACACATGCATTTGCCAGCCATGGGGTGAAATTTCAATCTGTTGAGGTAGATTTGCCAGCCATGATGGCGCAGAAAAATAAAGCTGTGTCTAATCTTACTCGCGGTATTGAAGGTTTATTCAAGAAAAATAAGGTAAGCTATGTGAAAGGATATGGCAAATTTACCTCCCCATCCGAAGTCTCTGTGGACACCATTGATGGTGGGAATACTGTTGTAAAAGGCAAGAATATTATAATTGCAACTGGTTCTGATGTGAAATCTCTGCCTGGTGTCCCTATTGATGAAAAGAAAATTGTATCATCAACTGGTGCCCTTTCTTTGTCGGAAATCCCCAAGAGACTTGTGGTCATTGGGGCAGGCTATATTGGGCTGGAAATGGGATCAGTATGGGGCCGACTTGGCTCTGAGGTAACTGTTGTTGAGTTCGCCCCAGATATTGTTCCAACCATGGATGGGGAAGTTCGAAAGCAGTTCCAGCGTTCTCTTGAAAAGCAAGGAATGAAATTCAAGCTGAAAACTAAGGTGGTAGGAGTGGATGCTTCTGGGGACGGTGTGAAGCTGACAATTGAACCAGCAGATGGAGGTGACACGAGCACTATCGAAACAGATGTTGTTCTTGTATCTGCTGGTAGGACTCCATTCACAGCTGGACTTGGGTTGGACAAGATTGGAGTTGAAACTGACAAGGTGGGACGGATTTTAGTTGATGAAAAATTTATGACAAATGTGCCTGGAGTTTATGCAATTGGAGATGTGATTCCAGGTCCAATGTTAGCACACAAAGCAGAAGAGGATGGGGTAGCTTGTGTAGAGTACATTGCTGGTAAGGTTGGCCATGTCGATTATGACAAGGTCCCTGGGGTTGTGTATACACATCCTGAGGTCGCATACGTTGGGAAGACTGAAGAGCAGGTGAAGGCACTTGGAATTGCGTATTGTGTGGGGAAGTTCCCTTTCTTGGCTAATAGTAGGGCTAAGGCAATCGATGATGCCGAAGGACTGGTAAAGATATTGGCTGAAAAGGAGACAGACAAGATTTTGGGGGTGCATATTATGGCACCCAATGCAGGAGAGCTCATTCATGAAGCGGCCGTAGCCTTGCAGTATGGTGCATCGAGTGAGGACATAGCACGTGTTTGCCATGCACATCCGACAATGAGCGAGGCTGTAAAAGAAGCTGCAATGGCCACTTTTGACAAGCCCATTCACATTTGATCACCTCGTTACTTGGTTTCCATTTTGCCCAACATTTTTTACCTTGTGTTCCAAGCAGATTCAGGTGTTTAAATCCTGATTGGCTCTTCACTTGCTTATATTTCTAATAATTTACTGATATTCATAATAACAAGAGTAACTGTGTTCATTTTATTCTCTCAATGCAATGCTTTTTTGACTGCCCATGTGCACAAGCTTCAGTTGAGGGTGGCATATCCAAGGGCAACCAGGATCCGGAATCGCAGAGATTGACTGCCAAAACCAAAGTATTTCTTTGCCCCATACGATTAAGTTGGTAAGCTTTTGAACGGAGATATTGGAGGGAAAGAGAAATGAAAGTTTCATTGAGACTTTAATTTTCTTCCGCTGAAAGTTTTTTCCTTCTAGTGTTTTCCCCTCGTGAGACATTAGGATAGGAATATCTTCAAGCCTTAACAAAGACTAACCTCATATTGAATGTGAACAGTAAAGCCCATCTTAATTATTAACCAAGTTGTTTCTTCCATGAAGGTTGGGAATTGAACTCAAACTACTGGAGGAACAAGTGCTTTTACCTTCCACCTAAAACTTTCTAAGGGAAGGGAGGAGACTTGGGATTTATATCTTGAACCAAGACCCTGGTAAATATGTAGTATGTACTGTCACTTTGAAGTTAAGAGTTCCTTTTTGGTTATTACTTCTCTTTCCAATGGCAGTCAGGACCTTTTTTAATTGTGGGAAATAATATATTTTTAAAAATATTAGAAAATTTAGATTAAGTACAATCACATTGACTTCCTATCAATATTTTTCTCTATTCAAGTTCTAGAAATGCATTTAAATTTTATGAGAAGTGTACCAAGTATTGTTTTTCAGGTTATCATCGACAAGCTCTATTTTTCTGGTACAACATGAGAATATAAATTCATACATGCTCAATTTTATGTAGTACTTTATCAGAATATAGGGTGGGGAAATACCATGTCGTTTAAAAAATATAATAATTTAATGAATAATAATTCAAAATATTTTAAAAGGAAATACATTATCTAGTGAAAATAAAATATATTAAAAAAAAAGATTAAGTTTAGAAGAAATATATGTATGAAGACTGCAAAATATTAAATAATACGTAGTATAAATTTATAATATTAATTAAAAAAACGTTTAAGTTAAAATATTAAATTCTGGTCAAAAAAAAAAAAGTTAAAATATTAAATTGCATATATTTGGGTTCAATAAATTCATTATGAGAAGACTATAACATTAAGAAGGTGTTTGGATAAAAACCAAACCATAGTTTTAGAAGTACTTTTACGGTTTACGAAGTAAATATGTAGAGAAATTTATCTCGTTTTACGAAAAAATACTTCTGAAACTATGGTGTGGAAGTTGTCAAACACCCCTTAGGATTTTATATCATATACTCATTTAAAACTTAAAAGTTGAAAAGAGGCATTTGCCTATCATCAGCCCGATGCACTTCCATCAACAGATATGAGCTCCGGGAAAGAAAAAGACGTACTTCTTGTTTTGGCCCAAAGGACGCATTAATGACCTCGTCAACATGTGTGAGGGCGTTTGCCGCCACTGAAGTATATAAATACCTTGTCACATAGAGCAACCAATAAATATATATACGAAATTGTCAAAACAAATTGAGTTGGGACAGATAAATATTCCTGGCTTTCCTTCCAAGGATCCAAATCATGTAACGCGTAATTTAAGAACATTTTGCAATCTCAGACCTGATCAAATGCATATAATCTCCATCAAAGCGATCAAAGGTCTACTTCACCCAGAATGAATTTTCTATAGTGATTTCATTAGCAGTGAGGAGAAAGATAAGCAAAAAATAATAGATCCCACTTCAAACATGTGGGTCTCATTACCATTTTATGTCCATATCTCTCCTTGCTTCAGGTAAAGTCACTTTGGAGCATCTGTGTTACTATTTCATCATAGGAAACCAGAACCAGGACCAGTGATGGGACCATAGCTCGCCCCTTGGAAATCAACTTCCAACCAAATCCATCCATAATCCTTAAGACTAGCAACTCGAGACATCCTTCAATCATCTGGATCTTCTCGCATGTCTGGCCGCCTTCTTGATTGCAAAGCCAAGCGTGCATCTCTTTCTCGTTCAAACTCACGATAATCTGCTCGCTGCAAGAAGGAAACCCTATCCAGATACTGGTTTGAACTCTTCTTGTAAGCATCAAGCTCCTCTTCCAGTCCCTTATTTTCTTCCTTGAATTCTCCCCAGTCCATTTTGGTCTTATCAAGTACACTGAGCTTCTGTTTTTTCTTAATTTGTTCAAGCATAACATCCACAGCAGAAGCTGCAGGAGCTTTGGTTCTTTCTATTGCCTCCTTTGAATCAGCATCGACAAGCTTTTTAACTTCAATTTCTTTACCAGCAAAGTCCCGAACTTCCGTGATCTATCCAAGCAAACAAATAAACATGAATTGATACACAAATGACTTGCTTATAGATGTCACACACGGAAGCCAGTAACGTTGACCACCTTAAAGTTCAAAGCACATGAAAACATACCAACCTATACCCAAACTAACGCCAGAGTAAACAATAAAAAAGTTCCTTATTCCAACTACCAAGAAAGATATTGGAACACCAATACACAAACTAAGTGCCATCTATGTCAAAGACTACCTGATATAATTCAGGGTGCTGCACTGACTTGAAAATAAAGAAAAAAATCTAGCATTATCAGATACACATCTTCTCTGTTTCTTTTTTGGATGAACAATATTGCCAAGCCTACATCTCCACTTTAGCCGACCAATAAATATTATTTGTAGACCACCCAAAAAAAAAAAAACAATCACAGGTAACCTTAAGGAATGCTTACTGAAATTTTCCCTCTGCTTGATGCTGCTGCTGCAGCAGCAGCAGCGTCATCTTTAACTGCTGCCAGAGCAGCAGCAGCAAGTTTCTTGGCTTCATCACTTGTATTGCTCTCCATAGTGACAGTTCCCTTCTGGGATGCATCTTGCCCAAGGGATTCAGTTACCTTTGGTGCCATGCCCAAATAAGACATCCAATTCTGTGACCAAAAACATCAAGTGAAGAGAAATCAAACTCAGGCAAAAGAATAAATAAATAAGCAGAAATCAAGCTCAAGCTAATTCCAAAGGAAACCATGTTCTTTCAGAAACACCTAGCAACCTACAAAACAGAGCCTCCCCTCCCCCGGGGGGGGGGTGTTTGATTTATTGCTAAAAAGAAGAACTTACAGTGGATGCCTTCTTTGCAGTTTTCTTGGCAGTGGAATTATGTTTGCTAACAATACTTCTGAGAATCTTGCTAGATACTCCTTTATTCATGTTTTGCCACATGGCATCAACTTGGGCCTTTATTTCTGGCAAGACAGAGCATAATAACAAGTTTATTCACAACTGTAAATCTCAATTCCTTAATGGAAGTATACATTACAGAAGAACAACAGCACATTGATTGAACATGGAAGTTGAAGATAAGATGTCCCAAATTCTCACCAGTCACTTCCTGTTTCCCCTCCGATATTGACCCAGGAACAACTTCGTTGACAGAATCAGAAGAAATAGCATCCTTCCCGTTGATATTATCTGAAATATGAAATATAAATTAATATCCAAAGCAATTCTACCCTATATTCCTTTTTTCCTTATATGACATAACAAAGGCAAGAGCCTAAGACTCCTAACCAATAACAGTCCTCATTAGACCACGCATAGTAGCTTCTGATTCTAGCTTAGAATATTCCTGAATAGAGAAGAGAATAAAACTACCTGTTTAAACCATTGAAAGCATCTGGAAAGCGTAACCCTTCCCTAGTAATGCTTCTTAAGCCAATTAATCACAGATTTTGACAGAAAAACTTGCTTAAAAAATTTACATTGACACCATTCAGATTTCGCCATACAGGGGACTCAAGAAAGCAGCATATCCAGCCAATTAACCCTTGAGAAGAAGTAATTAAGTGTCTATGATTATAATGCCACCGGCCAAAAGCGCCCAACCATCATAAATAAAAATAAACAAATTCAGCTAACATGGTATTTCCTTTCATTTACCAGATAAACACATTCCAAACACACTACACCAAGCTCAAGAGTCTATGCTTGATGCCTGAACGGAGAATGCAGAACTCACCGTTCCGCATGATATGATTGATGTTACTGGATCTCACGAGCAAACGAAATCCAAAAAACAAAGAATTCAGATAATCTATCGTGTCTTTTCTCTACAAATCGCACTTTTTACGCATCTAGAATATGGCCTCCGGCGTGAATGCCCTGCGGGAAGAGACGACGATAAACTGTAAATCTGCAAACCCTAGCACGATCGAGGTGGAAGACGACGCGAGGAACGGCCCAGTGATGATGGATCTCACCGAAACGCACCGTTGCACTTGTTCTCATTTTAAATTTTTTATATTTTAGTTTAGCCCACGTTGCATTTAATTCGATCATATTATGGCCACGTGTTTTTTCCGAAGGCCCAAAAAATGGTTTTTTGCCAAAGCGGCGACGTACGTTTTAGTGGAAACCGAGATATATAACTATTCAAGTGGCCCAAAAGAAAAGCCACATCCACTGTGTACAGAAAATTTATTAAAAAAAAATTAAAAAGAAGTAGTACTTCAAAACATAACGAACCAAAACTCAAATTTTTACTGAGAAAAATATTCATGTTTAGTACTCGATAGTACTTCAAATAGAATTGTCTCTGATATAAGAATACCTTTACATAACAAAAAAACATTAGGAAAAAAAAAAAGAATTGGATCTAACAATAAAAGTTAATCTTTTACAAACAAGATTCAAATCTCACAAAAGAAGTGTTGAGTCTAGTGGTTAAAAAAGTTTTTAAAAAAATGGTAATTGATAGTAATTGTATTTAGGTTCGAGTAAAAACTATTCAATGTTCTCTCGGAAATAAAGAAGGGGATAACAAATCTCACAGATGACAGGGAACATGGCATTTAAAGACCCTGAAAATTATCACATTCCAATTTAGGTACTCCAATTCACATAATTCCTGTAAGAAACCCAAACTTAAATTGGAATTATTAAATCATGAAGAAAAGACAAAAACATCTTTCCGGAAACAAAATTAGTGTCCTTTTGTATTGAAATCATCGCCGCCTTCATGGCACACATTTGGCAATTTCTTCTTCCACTTTGTCTCTCATCCCTTT